TACTTCAAGGGTTCAACATATGATTCTTTTACTGTTTTGTTGCTTTATGTTGATGATATTCTTATTGCTAGCAATGATTTGAGTGAAATCAAGCGTTTAAAGCTTGATATGTTTAAGAATTTTGCTACCAAGGATCTTGGACTAGCCAAACAGATTTTGGGCATGCACATCCATAGAGACAGAAATCAAGGTAAGCTTTGGTTAAGTCAATTTGAATATATTTTTAAAGTTCTTGAGCGCTTCAATATGATTGACTTTAAACTTGTTTCTACGTCATTAGCTGCACATTTCAAGTTGTCTAAAAGGGACTTTCCAATGAATGAGGTAGATACAAATAAGATGAATAATGTTCCATATACTTCTGTAATGGATAGTTTGATGTATGCAATGGTTTATGCTAGACCTGACATTGCCCATGCAGTGAGAGTTATTTCCAGATTTATGTCTAATCTAGGTTGGGAACATTGGCATCCAGTTAAGTGGATGCTTCGATATTTGAAGGGGATACGAAATGTATGTTTGTGTTTTCGAAATTCATCATTGGAAGTTGTTAGTTATGCAGATGCAGATTATGAAAGATATTGTGATACTAGATTGTCTACCACTAGATACATCTTCAATATTGGTGGTGATGCAGTCAGCTGGATGTCAAGGTTGCAAGATAATGTTGCCTTGTCATCAACTGAAGCTGAGTATGTGGCATTAACTGGGGCAACGAAGGAAATGGTTTAGTTGAGAAGGTTACTTGGCCAGTTTGAGGTGAAACAAGATAAATATGTTGTGCATTGTGATAACCAGCGTGCGATTCATCTAGCTAAGAACGACTACACTTGCTGCCCAATTAGTTCGATTAGTTCGGACCCACTTTCCTCGCCTTTCGAAAGACCATCCGGTGCTTCTAAATATCCATACTTTACTCCAGACTTTCAGGTTATATATCATTTTATTCGGTTGGCCCACGAGCGTAGAGATTTGCAGGTAGATAAGATTCACGCTAAAACGAACATTGCTGATATGTTGACAAAGGTTGTCACAACTGAAAAGAATATGATGTGTAGAAGACTTTCGAGATTGGAGGAGACATAACCTCGGGTAGATGGAGAGTGGTGCATTGGTGATTATTTCAAAGATTTTGTGATTGGTCTTCAAGTGAGAGATTGTTACATGTGGGAATTTTATTTAACTCTTCTCTCTTTTATTTTGGGCCATTGAATTGCATATAATCCAATGATTGTGGTGTTATAAGAACTTTACTATTTTAATGGGATTAAAACCCTTTTGTTTAGAGAGATAAATAGTGATAAAAGGATAGAAAGATTGGGTTGCAATTGAGGTTTTCTCTTGAGAGCTTGGTATGCTCTATTTTAGAGAGAGAAAGTGAGCAAAAGGCTTGAACTCCACTATGGGTTAGTTGTACGCCATGTTTAGTGAGAGAAAGTGTTAAAGAGAACCCATTTTTTGATGTTATTGGTGCCTTGTTTTTGGGCTCTATTTAGAGATAGAAAGGGCTGCTAGAAATTGATATTTTGCATTCAATTTCACTTTTTAATCTTTTCAAATCAGGAAGTAAAGTCTCGCACCATTCTTTTGTAGATGTAAGTCATGATTTGTGACCGAACCACGTTAAATCTTTGTACTTTATGGATTGAATGTTGTTGGATTTTTTATTCCATATTCTTGCTTTGATATTGTGAAGTTTTCATTGCTTACTTATATTGATATAAATGCACAATAGCTGTGAATGATATAAAACCTTGTTGATTTTTCACCAATCCCAACAATAGCTATTAGGGTTTTCATAAGTTGCAGAAAGTTCGTTCTTTCTTCTAATGATGGAAGACAAGTTATAGAGCCTGAAAATACCATAGCATAAGCTGCACAAGTTGTTAAGAAGAGGCGCTAGATCCTTTTCCTCTGCACAAGTTGTTAAGAAGAGGCGCTAATTCCTTCTCCTCATTGAGAGGTACAAGCTCTTCAAGAATTGTAGATCTATGATGTTAACAAATAGAGAAGTGTTTTTCTTGCATTCACTTGGGGGAAAACCCATATATTTATATAAGTGTTTGAGCGCGTATTTACGTGTTGTGGCTTTCAAAATAGGAATTGGTAACAACTACTTGTTACGTATTTATTTTATTATGCACAACAAATTAATATCATTTAAATGATAAAGAGTTTTACCTTATCCTACGTTACAAAAAGAGAAACATTAGATATTATCAAGACGTATTTTTTAACACTCCCCCTCAAATTGAAGGGGGTGTAACAACATCAGTTTGCCTATCAAATAATCATGGCACCTTTTAGTTAAAATCTTAGTGAAAATGTCAACAATCTGATATTTGGAAGGAATATGGGGGTGACATATTGTTGAGGATTGATGTCTTGTATTCTAAAGAAATAGATCTACCAAGGTGGAGTCGAAAGGATGACTCCAGAGGGCGGTTTAAACCCGAAGGGCTTGAAGCCCGAAAGAGTGTCCGACTAGGTAGACTCGGTTGACTCGGCCCCTGTGGGTAAGTTTGATAAGTTGACGTGATCCATACAATTTTGTTTGATAAGTTGACCAACATAAAGTAATTGGCTGATAGACTAGGCACATATAAAACATTAGAAAGATATAAAGGTGGAGAGTTAGAAGGTTTTATGAGCACTGAGCAATCTTTAGCTTTAGGGAGTGATTGACCATTTGCAATATAAATGCTTTGAGTGCTTTTATGTGGAGCAACTTGTTTTAAGAATGTCAAATTGCCGATCATATGATTGGAGGCACCAGGATCTAATACCCAAAAAGTTTAAAGATCAGCCTTACCAAAGCCTTACCAAAACCAAAAACATGGAATGCTTGTATGACTTGTTAAGAGAAAGTGATTGACTTTGACAGGGAATGGATGACAGTGTGTATGACTTGTTGAGAGAAAGTGATTTGACTTTGACATGGAATGGATGACAGTGCAAGCACAATAGAAGGCAGAGTGGGAATGACAGAGCTATGTCAAAAGTGTTGTGTGTTGTGACTGCAAGATAGGCTCTGGGAGGTTACTTTGAGGTCATTTTTTGTACTCAGTGATAAGGTGTCAAAACCCCTAGCACTAATTGTAGACATTGTTCTTCTTGCAATTATTAAGTGGCCCATCTCCCAATAATGACAACATTGAACCTTGTTCATATCTCGATTTTTCCGTTTACTTGAATTATTTAAGAATGTAGAATCTCTCCAAGAATTACCATAGATGGATAGTGACTTTAAACGAGTCTCTTCTGCCAATCGGCCCACACATAGTCAAACTCGGACCGCAGTTTCATTAAAAATTGTCAAAAGCATGTTTTGAGCATTGCATCAATTTGCCCTTGGAATCAACATATCCATCTGGTGGTTCAGGAACAAAACCGTTGACGTAGCCCCATAATTATTGACCTTCCAAAAACTTTCCAAGATAAGATGCCCATAAAAAACAGTTGTCCATTAAGCTTTACCTCTAGGTTATGGGAGTCCATTTTGTTACAAAAAATACTTCGGAACAACCAATCCCAAAAAATCAAAGAAGTATCCTAAGCTCTTAATTTTACTAAAAATAATGGAGTCCAATGCAAATAAGCACTCACAAGCAAGTACACCAAGGAATACCCAAATGCAAGGATGGTAAAGAGAGCAACAAGTGCAATAGTAAAAGAGAGGCTCATGTACAAAGTACACCAAAGAAAACCCAAATGCAAGGGATAGTGGAGAGACCAGCAAGTGCAACAATAAAAGAGACTCACATGCAAGTACATCTAAGAATACCCAAACACAAGGATGGTAGAGAGAGAGCAACAAGTGCAACAATAAAAGAACAGGCATGGTAAAAGAGCAAGTAGGCAGGCGCCCAAAAATGGAAGACCCAAAAGAATGGTAGAGAGAGAAAAAGTGTAACAGTAAAAGAGTAAGCTCGCCCAAATAAGAAACCCAAATGACGAAGAGTGGTCCATGAAAGAAGAGTGGTCCTTGAAAGAGGAACGCAGAATTGTGAGTACCCCAACAGATCAGAAAATAATAATAATAATAATAATTAGGGATGCTCCAATGGAGAAAAGAACAATGCAAAAACTGCCCCCACAGGCCCCAAAAAAACATGGAACAAAGAAAACATGATCGTTTCCAAACAACAAAAACAAAAAAACAAAGACAACAAAATGCACCTAGAGAGAATCCGGAAGAGCACAGTAAGAGAGTGACCACATCAAATAAAACAGCACGAGAGTGCCCACATCAAAAAAACATTGTGCACACCTATGCTTTCTCTCATGCTAACAAATAGACTAAGTGTTTTCTTGATATTCACTTGGGCAAACGCATATACTTATACAAGTGTTTGATACCATACTAACAACTAGATAAGTGTTTTCTTGATATTCACTTGGGAAAAACCCAAATACAAGTGTTTGATCGCCTATGTACACATCGCCTTCACCTTCAAAGTAATAATTGATTACAACAACTTGTTATAACTTTATCTTATCTTATACAACAAACGAATCTCATTTATACAACAAACTAATCTCATTTAAACTACAAAGAGCTTTATCTTGTACTACCCTACAAATGGATATATCATTAAAGGAAGACATTGGTTTCCTTGTATGGTAGCCGAAGCTCTTAATTGAGGATGAAATTTGTTACAGGGCCATGAAAATCCCTGATTCCTTTCTCTTGCACGAAATGAGATTCAAGGGTTTCTTCAAAACCCTAAAATTAAGCAATTAGGGTGAAAAGCTCTAGTTTGTATGAGATGAGAGCGCAAAGAATATAAATTGGACGATTGATAAGACTCCATCTTCAACTGTTACGATAAGGACACAACCATATAATAAATAATGAGTATTTTAAATGTATTGATAAAGACCATTTTGGAATAAAATGGGTGGTTGTAGGAGTGTCATTGAATGGACACTAGTTTTTTTTTTTTTTGAGAAATGTTCACATGGACACTAGTTTTTCAAAAAGCAATATCCATAGAGTATATATCAATTTTTAGCTAAGCAATACTTTGAAACAAAACAATACCAGCAGTATCATAATACAAGAACTTTGAAGTATCAGTGGATAAAGAATCCACCCGTGGGGTTGGGTGGCGGATCCAACATAATGCCAAGGGTTCATATGCCCCAAAACCATCACAATAGGCATTATCACCATTCACATGCACAACACTATGAAGTAAAAAACACTATAGATGGTGAAACGAAACACCAGCACAGAGAAAGGCCACCAACAGTCCAAAACAGTTGGATAAGGTTCTTCATCCTTCTTGGACATAGAAGTCGAGACACATCATTTCACCACAAATTTGCAATTTGCTAGCTCATATCATAGACCATCACTGTGCAACTGGCGAAAATAGCCTCTAGGGTTACTCTCAAATGGGCTTCGAGGAATGCGAAAAGGCCTCCCTGGAGCTTTCATGGTCTTGCCACTACCCTTGCCTCCAGAGAAAGCTTTCATCACCTTGAGCACCAAATATCCAGCAAATGCCAAACCGGCTATCTTCAATGCTTTGTCTCTATCTACTTTGTCTAATCCCAATGTAATTGCCAAGGCCCGAGCTAAAATGAAATGGTCATGAAATCAAGAAAAACGAAAACTAGTATTCAATGCATTTTGCCTATATTATTACTATACACAAAGTAAGGGTTTAGATAACATGCAGTATCAGTCTATATTATTACTATACACAAAGAAAGGGTTTAGATAACATGCAGTATCAGTCACAGCAGTAGGCATCATTACTTGTTGTGTAAATAGGGAAAATAATAGATACCCCCCAATTGTTGTGTAAATAGGTTAGGGAAAATAATAGATACCCCCAAAATGAACTTTGTAGTCATTCTCTCGCGAGAACCAGAAACTCTCTCATGTTCTCTCCACAGCAACTCACGCATTCTCTATCACGCTTTCTCTCTATCTTTCTCCCTCTAAAACCAGTGGATTTCGATGCACCTTCGACCCAGTCCTTTATATACACACCCCCACAAACGGCACTCTCTCCATCAACAAATCTCTCATTCTCTGGACAACAAAGAGGATAAAAAACTGACTCAATTCCCTCTATATGCATCAATCCAAACCTCTCCAACTTTTTGGATATCCTCTATGGTAACCTTTTTATTTGTCAAGCCCCAGAAAACCCAATTCATTGTCCTTCTGCATCTTCAAAGCTTAGCCCAAGATTCAATTCTGCGATCTCAAAAACCAAGAGAAGGCCCAATTTTTTTTCTCCTTTTTTATCAGAAAATGATAGTGAAATCCAGGGACTACATGACTGATCCAATAAACATATAGATCAAAGAATTGGAAGATCAGAAGCTCCCATATCACAATGTGACATCTTTGATTCACGTATAAACGGCATTTCTTCAAAATGCATTTCTTATTTCTGATCTGCACACCATTAAAAAAGCTCCAGATCAAAAAATATATAAAAATATATTATATGGGAGAGTTTGTGGCTGTGGAGAGAAAAAAAGAGAGAGAAGGGCGGATAGAGAGAGAACGAGAAAGAGAAAGTGAGAGAGGGTAGGTCGAGAGAGGTAGAGAGAGATAGAGGGCGGCGAGAGAAAAAAAGAGTGTGAGAGAGGGCAGGTAGAGGGGGGGTTGAAAGAGAGGGGGTAGAGATAGAGAGAGCGGGTAGAAAGAGAAAGTGAAAGAGAGGACTGAGAGTGAGAGAGAGGGGTGGTAGAGAGAAAGGGGGTAGAGAGGGGTAAGGGCATTTTTATCCTAATTTTATTGACTTTTTTTATTGGAGCAAAAATACAAGAAAAAAAAGTGTTTTGGTCTAGGGTATGATGCTAAAAATATAGATGTCTATAAAGTTCATTTTGCGGGTATCAATAAATTTCCCTAGTAAATATCGACAAACAGGGTAATAAAAGAATTACTAAGGTATTCGTGCTTAGTATAAAAAAGATCACAATCACAAATGCTAATCACCTACACCTATCAAATGCTAATCACCTATAGCCATCTGATGCTAATTAAATGCTGGAATGTTTGGACTTTAAGTACAGCCAATGTCACACCTCCCACTTCTGCTTCATCTCATTTGAGAGTGAGGAGTGACTCTGTTACTTCTCATCTGATAGCTAGTGGTAGGGGTGATAATGGACCTGGACCTAACGACTAGTCCCAACACAGGTCTAGGTATGGGTCCAAAAATTGGACCGAACACCATTCTTCTGGGTCCATATATACCCAACCCAAATAATGTTAATAACACCATTCTTCCAGGTCCATATATACCCAACCCAACTAATGTTAATATTTAATATGCAATATGTTAATAATATATAAATAATTTATATATAATATTTGAATAATATTTAAATAATAAATATAATATTTTTATAATTTTAAACAATATTAAATAATATACCCATATATTTTTAGTTATACTATTTAAATATAAGGTTTTGTTAGGCTACACCACTTGATGATGTAGACCCTTAAAGTGCTCAACATTTTTGGAAACTAAAATACCTTGGAATTGTAATACAAAATTTTCCAAGTAAGGGTTTTTTTGGTCATTTAGAAGGGTAGAATGGATATTTATTAAAAAAATAGTGGCACTCTATTAGTAGTTAAAAACAATTAATGCATCTTGTGGGTGATGTCACACATCATATCGATGATGTCATTGTCCACTATTGTTAATAAATGATTTTGTTTCTATTAGGAATTTCTAGTTTACCCTTGACTAATTACCTAACATACCCGTAATCAAAAAGTTACTATACTATAGGATTAGGATAAGGGTATCTAAATGTCTAAAAATGTTGAGCACTTTGCGAGTCTGCACCACACGTAGTGTACCCTAACAAAACCCTTAAACAATACATGTATATATTTAAATATATACATATTTTTTTATGTGACTTCAATAACTTTGGTCTGGGTCCAAGTCCCATAAATTTGTTTTGGATCCAAGTCTAGGACCCTAATCTGACCCGACCCCACCTTTTTAGAGGGTAGGTAGTCTTATTGTATATCTTTCCTATTTGAAAAATGTTGTGTATAATACAATGGCCAATGATGGCGCTCGACAACTATCACATCAAAATTGTTTTTGATATGTACGCAACTAACCTTCAGTATCAGTACTATATGGTGATGGACTATTCCTAGTGTTGCTTACTTATAGACAAACCTTCATAGACGAACAATTCATTTCCACCATCTCCCTTCATAATGGGATTTGTTGATATGTACCATCGAACCATCAATCTCGGAATTAGATGGTGGAGATGAACTATTCATTAGTTTTGCTGAGTCAAATAGAGGAACAATTCATGTCTACCTTTTATAGTGAAATGGAAGGTGGAAACCATGTTTGGTGAATACTAAAATAAGTAAAACTACTCTCCTCTCCTCGATCATTCTCAAGTAAAACTACTCTCATGAATCAAATAATAGAATAACAAATCATGATTAACCATTTTTCTTAGGGTGTGAAGGCGGAAACCATGTTTGGTGAATACTAAAATAAGTAAAACTACTCTCCTCAATCATACTCAAGTAAGTAAAACTACTCTCATGAATCAAATAATAGAAAAACAAATCATGATTAACCATTTTTCTTAGTTTTCATAAGATGACCGCCTTGTAGAACAACCTTTAAATAAATAAATGGTGGAGGTTGGTGAAAAAGTATATATAAGGTTGCAACCTTTAAATGTAGAATTACAGTGCACCTCAAAAATCCATCCCTAATCGGTTGTTTGGATGCTAGAAAACGGTTTAATTGATCATCTCGACATCGAAATTTATGGACATGAAAAGAAAAACGGATTTCGAGTCAGCAAAATAGTGTATCTTGCAACACATTATCTAAAGCGTCTATTTTCAAGATTCTCATGTGTTTATAGATCTACTTGATTTGAACCATTTTTAGAGTTTAAAATTTTATAATTAGATAGGAACATAGACTCTCAACACATCCTAAAAGAATTTTATATTAAAATTACATTTACGATAAAATTAGAGGTGCACCTTAATTCGATTATTTAAGGTTGCAACCATATGAAAATCACACACTTTTGTTCCTTTTTATTATAATATGATCAACACAATGAAATAGATGAGACGAAAATATATAATTTAAAAGAAGATTACGTTACTCAACTGTATAAGCAATTACTTTGTACTCAACATTTTTAGACACTCACTGCCCCTTGTTTTGTAATACAAAATTCTTTTAATAAGGGTGTTTTTCATCATAAGGAGGGGTAGTATAAATATTTTTATAAAAAACCAGTGGCATTTCACTAATAGTTAAAAACAATCATTAATCAATGTGGGTGATATAACATCTTATGTGGATAATATCATCATCTACTATAGGTAATAAATATTTCTCTTTTTACAAAAATTTCTACTTTATTATTGATTAATTACCTAAAATACCTTTAGACAAAAAAGTTATTATGAAGTGGGATAAGGGTATCAAGTTTTAAAAAATATTGAGTACCTTAAAGAAATACTCATATGCATGAGTACCCAAACATTACCCTTTAAAATTCAAAGGAAAATGCTAAATAAATGATGTAATAATACAAATAACAGAATGTCATAAAGAAAGGTTCATGTGGAGAGAGAGGGGGTTCTTATCAAGAGCAAGAAATATTTCTAAGGCCAAATAGGCTTCAAACCATTTAGCCAAAATGCTAAAACAATGTTGTAAAAAAAGACAAAAAAAGTAGAAAATCACTTTTCTTTCAGGTACGACCAGTCTTAGAAAGTGACTCGAACCAAGTGCCTCAAACGAAGTAATCAGTCGTGGCCAAAGCCGATTACTCAGGCCGAGTTAGCAGCAAAAAAAAGTCAAAAAATTATAAAAATATAAAAAGCCTAAAAAAATAGAAAATATGTCTTTAAAATAATATTAAGCGAAACACTTCAAAATGATGCTAAAAAAAAGTAGTGACAAAATAGATTTTAAAAATCAATTTGTGAACAGGGGTATTCTTGAAAAAATACAAAAATGGAAAAATATAGAAATGCATTTATGGCCAAAACAATTTCCAATCTTTTCAAAAATAATAGAAAATATAAAAAAAAAAACATATCTCAAATAAATTCTTTATTTTATAGATTTTTTTATTTGTTTGAATTTTTTTTAATATCCCCAAGTTATACACCCAAGTCTGGGCAACTCGGGTTCCGCAAGGGGCCGAGCCCAAGTAACTCGGCCCATTTTTCAATCACTAGGTAGGATTACAACATTCAAGTTTCTGATAGCCAAAAAAAAAAACAGAGATCCATGGGAAATTCTGAGTCAGAAATTAAACAGAATAAAATTTAAAAATCCTTCAACAATATAATACTTTAATTCTAGGTCAATCAATATATTTAAAACTATACAAACAAATTACAAATTTCATCCGCAATAAAATTTAATTGTATTTTTTTTTGCTTAGATCATATAATCAGTGTTTATTATCTTGATTCTTTTGACAAACTTCATTTTTTGTTGACAAGGTTTGACAAACGTCTCTGATGAGTGTTTACCAATCTTTTTGAAAATTTATTTCAGTGCCTAAATGGGTAACCATATGTTATTTTCTGAAAGTATCAATCCATAAACTATACAGGGTAACTATATTTCTAGCCCTCTAAAGAAACCAGAACAATTAACTGATAAACTCATTCAACTTAAATAAAACAAGTTGATTTTTCACCTTTGTCAGCCAGCAATTCGCTCTTAACCTTGCCATCTCTCACTAAATCTTCAACTTTGGAATCTGTAAAATGGCCCAACAGATCGTTAACTTGCTTTTCGGCTTTGGGCTTGCCTTCTCTCACTACACCACCCAAAAAATCTCTCAAATATCCCAAGAAATTTTCAATTTCCTGCAACATTGTGATCTTCTCTGAAGTTTACCTCTCTACCTTCTCTTCCAATCTTCCTCTTCAATCCACTTATAGAGAGAGAAGACGCCCTAATCTTGAGATTCATCTTGCGGCTTTAGTTCTGTTTTTTACCTTTCCTTTGTCGTCGTTCATCTGTCTTCTTTTCTCTCTCACCGTTGATTAGTAGGGCAAACGTGTCTCATTTTTACTGCCTTAGGAAACCGGCTATAAGGGCATTCCCATTTTCGGGAAACACCGGTAAGTGTACCGTCCTCTTTTATTTTTATTTTTTATTTTAGTGACAGGTTCGGTAAATTGGTATTTTTTTTTTTTTTTTTGACGGACGGAGATTATATTAAAGATCTAAAAAAGACGAAAGTCTCAAATACAAAATATTTTTTTTTACAAAAAAATATGTAACCCCATTAGCTTCCCTATAAACATACACAAAGGACAACATAAATGAACTAGCAATGTCCCAAATATGTTGCAGCACTGATCTCAACTCCCAATGATACTTCTGCTTTCTGTTGCACCAATTGATGAAGTTTAGAAAATCCCCATCAATGATATAGTAATGACTCTGATTCCTAACTACCAAAAATTTTAAATCATGAATAAGTGCATAAAGCTCTACGTAATTAGCAATTATTGTACCGAGAGGACCAGCATAAGTAAAGATAATACTACCATTCCAGTCTCTAATCATACCTCCAAAGCTTGCTAGCCTTGGGTTCCCTAATGAACTGCCATCAAAGTTAAGCTTAAAAACCCCCATAAAAAACGTAACCCATCTTTCTTTAGACGTGCATTTAATGAACCCCATCTAAAATATAGTTGGCATATTTTTCCTCACATCCACTTTTGAAATGTCATGTCATCTTTTTACCACAAAAAGATAAAGCCAAATTGAATGTAAAATCATGTCCATAATTTTCTCAAAAAGCTGATTTGTCCTATCAAAAGTTCTTCTATTCTTTTCCTTCTACACCTCCCTCAAGATCACGCCTCTCGTGATTTGCCATATTATCAAACCTAACTAGGGTAAAAAAGAAGTGACAAATTTGAAAGTAGACCCTCAACACTTGATGGCATAACCATTGCAACCCCAAGATGACAAAAAAACCAACTCTAGATTCTAGAAGTGAATAGACAGTGAAGAAATAAATGAGCACATGTTTCACCGTCTTCCTTACACAACAGACAAACATTTGATAATATATTTCCCCTTTTGATGAGATTATCAACTGTCAGAACCTTGTTTTGAACTGCTAGCCATAAAAAAGCTTGAACTTCAAGAGGTAAAGGTTATTTCTAGACCACAACAACTTCAGGCATGGTCCACCTCCATCGATCACGAAACAGTAATTGGTACATTGACTTAATCAAATAGTCTTCATCTTTTTCAATATCCCACACTACCTCATCAACAGCATTGTGAGAAATGTAAACTTCATTAAGTAGCATCAATAAGTCAGATAATTCTGCAATGAGAGAGTCTAAAATCCTGCTGTATGGAAGATTAATATTCCATATAATTTGGTTTTCCCTGCGTTCGAAATAGTCACAGACAAGCGCATTGGGATTGGTCATCCTTTGAAATATAAGAGGAAACATATATTTCAAAGGTGAAGACCCCAACCATTTGTGATGTCATAAAAGGATATTGTGTCTGTCACCTAGAGACCACTGAATGTCCCTATAAATGAGAGATCTACAAGAATGAATAGATCTCCAACAATAAGACATCTCCCTAGTATCATTCCTCTATCCAACCCACATTCCAAACTTATCCACACCATACTTTGTTGCGATCATTTTGTACCTTAAATGGTATTCGAAATTTAAGCTCTTCCACTACCACTTACATAACAATGCTTGATTGACAAGTCTGACTCTCCTTATTCCTAGACCTCCTTCACTCTTGGGTGTGCACACTCTATCCCATCCTAGCAGATGAAATTTCCTAGAATTTTTAGAAGAACCCCATAGGAAGTTTTTCATTAAAGTTTCAATTTTCCTAGCAACCGACGAGAGGATCTGCAATATAGACATCTAATAAATAGGTAAATTTGATAGGCACACCTTGACTAGGGTTATCCTTCCCCCCAAGGAATGGTATTTAAATTTCCACATATCAAGCTTCACTTGAATCCGTTTGATGATTTTGTCCCAAACAGCAATCGAGAGTCGACCATCCGAAATAGGTATCCTCAAATACGTGATGGGGAAGTTCTCCACTTTACACCCCAACACCTCTGCCATGTCTTGGACTAAAGCATCACATGAATCAATACCAACTATTGTTGTTTTATCAAAATTAACCTTAAGGCTTAACAAAATTTCACAACATCTCAAAAAGGTAGCAATATTGCTAACCTGGTCAACTTGAGCCTCACAGAACAACAAGGTATCATCTGCATATTGCAGATGGGAAATGTAGGAGCCTCCATTTGGCATTTGAAAACCCTTGAAATGACCACTCCTTCAACATTTATCACAATCAAACTAAAATATTCTGCATAAATAGTAAATAAGAAAGGAGAAAGAGGGTAACCTTGACGAAGACCCCGGGATGCCTTGAAGAAGCCAGTAGGACTGCCTTTGTATAGAATGGTAAAGTGTGTTGAGGATAAACATCCAAATATCCACTTTCTCCACAACTCCCCAAACCCCATATTCTTCATGATTTTGAACAAAACACTCCACTCTACCTTGTTATAAGCTTTTTCCATATCCAGTTTAATAACCACCCCTGCGCTCTCATTCAGAACTTTAGAATGAATACACTCTTGTGCCACCATTACACTATCTGAAATCAATCTATCATTAATAAAAGCTAATTGGGGGCCCTGAGATAATAATTGGTAACATTTCCTTTAAACGTTCTGCTAGAACTGTCGCCATAATTTATAAAGGCTAGTCAAAAGACTAATGGGTCTAATGTCACTAAGAGTAGCAATGACTGACTTTTTAGGAATCAGTGCGATATAAGTGGAATTAACCCCTCTAAAAAGTTCACCTCTCTTAATAAACGCCCTGGTCATTTCCAGCAGTTCACCACAAATCAAATTCCAAAACTTATGAAAGAAGATTAAAGGGAAGCCATCAGGACCAGGTGCCTTATCGTCTGGCAATGCAAAAACCGCACTTTTTAATTCTTCCATAGAAACATCTCTTTCCAGGAAAGACCTTGAATCTGACGGTGGAACCTTAAACTCCACCCTAGTTAAATGAGGGATATGCTTCACCTCAGAGGTGAAAGCTTTTTGAAAATGATTAACAATAGCAGTAGACATACTAAGACAATCCTCAGCATTGACTCCTTGAATCACCAAACCAGATATGTCATTCTAACGGCATCTGGCATTTACTGTGGCATGGAAAAACTTTGTATTAAGATCCCCCTTTTTCAACCATTCACTCCATACCATGGTCTCCAATAAATTTCTTCAGCTCTTCTAAGCCCCTGAAGCTCATTTATTTTAGAGCTTCTCTCCAACATCAACTCTTGAGACCATTCTCCTGAATTTTGCATAACTAGGTCACACTCCTCTATACTACTTAATACCTCCCCAACTTTCCTCCTAACAGAGTATCTTTTTTCTTTTTTCTATGCTAACATCATAGGATTAATGTTTAGGAGTTTCTTATGAAGTTGGAAGTCTAAGGAACCAAAGGAAATAGTGTTCTCCTAAGAGCTTTTTATCACTTCAATGACTTGCTTCTCCTGCAGCTACCCAATTTCAATCCTAGAAGGCTTAGGACCCCTTGAAAGTGCTTTTGTGCTAAGCATAATGGGGGTATGATCAGAGGACAGCTTAAGCAAGGCTTTGACGAAGGCCACCGAAAAGAATTTCGACCACTCAGCAAATACCAAAAACCTATCAATTTTGGACATTGACAGATTCGATGTATTACCATTAGTCCAAGTAAATACTGCACCAGAGATCGTCAGATCTAACAGAGCATGGGACTCTATAAATTTGTTAAAGAGACGCATAGAAGACGTAATAGGCCCACCATGACTGCTCTCATCTGGCCATCAATCAAAGTTTAAAATGCCCCCCAAGCAAATTGGATAAGCAAAATTAATAATAAAATCTGACATCTCACTAATAAAATTTTCTTTTAAAGTAAAAGTTTGAGGTCCATAAACGTTCATCAATCCCCACTGAAAATCAGTATCTAGCCTCACAAAACCTTCCACCAAAAAGTTGTATTTTCTAACAAAACTAAAAGAGAACAGAACTGTTGGATCCCACGTAATCCACAAACCCTCAGAAGCCTCAATAGAGTCAATCCCCATAAAGTCTACTGCCCCAGGACCCCACACTTCCATGACACCAGAAAAACTAGGACTTGGAATTTTGGATTCCTGAAGGATTAGGATCGTAGGCTTAAGTTTAAAGACCAAAACACGTGCATCTTTTTTCCTTTTGAGGTCTCCCAGACCTCGTACATTCCAAGAGAGAATAAACATCAGAAAGGATTAGAGGAGGAAGAACCAAGTCCATCCCTACTCTCAGTAAAAAAATGCTTCTTCTAAGAGCAAGGCTTCCTCCATGGCTTCATCAAAAGCGTCCTCCAAAGCCACCGACGAAGGAGAGGAGTTGAACTCAATAACCTGTTCATCACGGATGACGACACTAGTTGCAGCACCAGAGCGCGAGCCACGAGCCAGCAATCTTGCAGATGACCTCGTACCCTTCATAGGACTTTTACCCTTCTTTTTCTTCTTACCCTCTTCCTTTGCAATATACTGACAAGGATTGTCATTCCCAGCATCTTGACTCATCTTTTTGCTCACCTTCTTCTTCTCCAAAATGTCTTTGAATACCACCCCAATTGGAACATCGAAGTCTATACCACTATCAGAGACGATAAAGGTAACAGCGGCCTCTGCTTTATCTTCTTGAGCCCCAACCATTGGATTTACAGGAGGTAAATTGGATTATTGATCCGTCCAACGGATCAGAAATCGTGATTCACAATCTGGCTCACCGATCTACTTTTTAAGGATTGAGTTTAATACCCAATGACCACTTGGGGCAATTAAGGATTGGAAAGTCTCTGGTCCATAGAGGACATCGATTTAGGTTGATTATGACCATCATCATCAACATCAAGCTTTTTTTTGACTTAATTAGGGTTGGCCATTGGTGT